GGCGGTATTAGTGAGAGCGTTTTTAGTATAATGGACCTGCGCTAGCGGACACTTCTATATAACGGACCTCTATTAGCTATCACATCTGTATAACGGACATATAGTAGCGGACACTTCTGTATACGCGACCATTGTGTTATATAGTTTTTCTGTTGTACTCTCTCTCTCTCTCTCTCTCTCTCTCTCTCTCTCTCTCTCTCTCTCTCTCTCTCTCTCTCTCTCTCTCTCTCTCTCTCGTCGTGTATTTTCCCTCCTCCCCGTCTTCCCCTTTCTTCTCCCTCTCCTCCTCTACCCTCTTCCCTACCCCTCCATTATCTCCTCCTTCCCTTCCTTCTCTCCTTATTCTCTACTCCTCCCTCCCCCTTCACTGCACTACCTCCACGTCGGAGCAGAAAAATTTACCCCAATATAAATGTCGAGGATATAATTAGACCCCCCCCCCTCACTTCCCCCTCCCCTCTCACCTCCCCTCACTCCCTTACGTCCACCCCTTACTAGGTCACGCCTTTCCCCCATCTCTCACCTCCTCCCTCCTCACCCCCTCACTAGGTCATGCCCCCCCCTTTATCTCACCTCTTTCCTCACCTCTCCTCAGATAATCACAGAAAATTTAACTTCACTTTCATTGGTAAATTTATTATTATTATTATTATTATTGTTATTATTATTATTATTATTATTATTATTATTATTATTATTATTATTATTATTATTATTATTGTTGTTGTTATCGAAATATACACACAACTTAATATAATTTATAATATTAAAAAAAATACATTTCCACGTATTTTAATGTATAATGACTGTTTATCACAGACTGGTTAACTGTGTAGGATTCATGCGTGGAGACCTTGACTGGATTATCGAGTGGGAGTGGAGTGGGTGAGGGGGAGAGAGTGGGAGTGGTATTAATTGTTCTCTTATTTGCCATTGAGTTAAGTGTTTGTGTAGTAGCGTCATGTTGTATGCCTATGTACAGTCCCCTTCACTAGTGCGTTTACAGGGGCTCGACATATAAACATTCCACAAATCATTACATTGAGATATTTGTTTTAATATTGTTTTAATTTGGTTCCATAGTGTGTTTATTATTGTGAGTTTCCTTCTGTCGAATGTAAACAAACGCAGGGGCTGCCACACTGCACAAAACCTGATGAAACCCCTGTAAACGCACAAGTGAAGGGGACTGACTGTACATGTGTTGATGACTATAATTGTTGTTATGTTGTTGTTTATGAGGATGATGCCTGAGGATAGTAATTATGTGTTTTGATACCTGACTTACTTCACTAACTCACTTTCCTCACTCACCTTGACTCATTTTTCTTCATCTCTTTTTACCAGCCTTACTTTCTCACTACTATCCTGACACTTTTTTTACTATCCTCAACCTTCACCTCCCTTACTCCTCGTCACTTTCTTCACTCTTCACTATCCTCACCTCCCCCACCCCTCACGCCTCACCTCCCTCACACCTCTTCCCTCACCACTCGTTACGGTATATAGGTAAACATTCTCTGCTGAGTGTGAGAGACTCGGTCAAGGTCCTCATTGATGATCAGATAGTCATAACGGCCATTAACGACCATTAACGACCATTACTGTTACGTGACGGACCGTAAGAGGCCTGCTATCATTCTTAGGCACTTGTTAGTTCCTGGGGCGATAATCTTAATGAAAGTACAGGGTCTTGGCACTCTCTTGGTACTTTGTTACACTGGCACTAAACTGGTACAAACACGAGAGCCTGGTACAATTCTTTGGACCCTGATGTAGCCTAATATAGCACTGTACGTAGCCTAATATAGCACTATACGTAGCCTAATATAGCACTGTACGTAGCCAAATATAGCACTGTTAGCCTAATATAGCACTGTACGTAGCCTAATATAGCACTGTACGTAGCCTAATATAACACTGTACGTAGCCTAATATAGCACTGTACGTAGCCTAATATAGCACTGTACGTAGCCTAATATAGCACTATACGTAGCCTAATATAGTACTGTACGTAGCCTAATATAGCACTGTACGTAGCCTAATATAGCACTGTACGTAGCCTAATATAGTACTGTACGTAGCCTAATATATCCCTTCGCCTCAATACATAGTCGTTTTAATGTATGTACAGTATGTATGTATATGTGTGTATGTAATAGGTAACTGTATGTATGTATGTATGTATGTATGTAATAGGTAAACTGTATGTATGTATGATCAAGGTGTACGCCCCATGTTGGTCAGGCTCACGTGAGGGTCAAATCGTGACTTTTGTCTTGTAATGTATGTCAAGTGACCTCTCTTATTCGCTGCTTAAGTCTGCCTTGTTATATCCAGTGACGTAATAAGGTCATTTGATCATTAAGATTACGTGTAGTCATTGATTGTGTGTGTGTGTGTGTGTGTGTGTGTGTGTGTGTGTGTGTGTGTGTGTGTATAATTAAGTGGGACTACATGCGTGTCTGTGTGTGTATATTTTTCTATGAATGTATTTGTGTCTTATGAATGTTGTATGTTTGGTTATGAATTTATGATCATACTTTTATCATTATGTTACGTGTGTTAATTGTATACTAAGTGCTAAAAAATGCGTGTATGTATTTGATCTGTATATGTATACGTTTGTGTATACTTGTATGCTATTGTTTGGTGTATATCCATGGCTTAAACTCAACCTTGGTATAAAAGAATTGTTATTTATGTACTTAATTATGTCCCCAGGTGAGGTTAAAGTAGTTTGCGTAGTTGCGTAGTTTATTGGCTAGCCCTGTGGCGTTCAAGGTTAAATATGATAAACTGAGACACTACTTACAACCATAGACTACAGAACAAGAGATGGTGGCGTTTACAATGTATTACTGCGCTTCAATAACTATCTAAGTTTTTTTTAAGCGCTTATTCTAGGTTAGTAATTTGGTTTACTTGTTAAATTAGATGAAATGTTTAAGTTTTGATTACGTTTTCTTACCTTCTGTGTTATTTATTAAACACTAAAGCTCTGTGGTGCAACACGTACAGTCTGTGTGTGTGTGTGTGTGTGTGTGTGTGTGTGTGTGTGTGTGTGTGTGTGTGTGTGTGTGTCATTTTTCTTTTATTCATGTGTGACAAGTGACTGACGCTGCCATATTAGTGTTTGGAAACTATTTTTTTGGTATACCTCCACGTGAGTCACCAACGACAGGTGTGTACTACTGCGTCCAAACACACGGAGTCGATTCGCGGAATAATACACATGAGACCAATTTTGACAAGACACGCGCGATGTATACTGTGGAAATCTACCTCGTGGCATGATACAGCGTTCTATATCCTTATTCACTCAGTTTTTCTGATCGTGAATAAACCTAACCATTACTAGAGATTTCAATGACCATTACTAAAAATTCTTTCACATAAGTAGGATTACGTAGATATGTAACTAAAGGGATATATCTAGTGGGAGTTGGGCTATAAATAAGGGAATATTTAGCACCATGTAGTGTGTGAGAGAGAGAGACGGACGTAATCACTCCCGTACTACTATTTACAACATCAATATAAAGGGGTGAAGCTAACGTATTCCCCCCCCCCCTCCCTGTGCCATTTTCCCTTCTTACCTGCCCTCACCTGTTGTCCCCTCACGGTAATCACCCTCGTCTCCTCCCTCACCTGAACGTAATCACCAGGTATACGCCTACACACACACACACACACACACATGTACACATCACCAGTTCACTACTACGCACACATGAACACCACACAGTATAATGAAGTTGATTTGATTTCGGTACAAAAATTTAAGTACAATAGTTATGAACGTGTCGGAGTGCGTTAACCTCTGAGTGTACAACAACAATGATCACACACACACACACACACTTGTTGACATTGCGTCCCTTCTTGTCTTGGGCTTTTCTCCCTCCCCTTCTCCGTCCTACCACACCCTCCCCTACCACCAATCACAACGTGCGGGGTAACAAGGGACGGGTTGTCATTGGTGGGTGTGGATGTTTACTTAATGTGTACTATTGTTACCGGGATGACTAGTTCTGGCAAGAGTCGACGATAATTAGGTACTGATCATTGTGGATAAGATGGCTGTCACAGCTTCGACCACAGCGCACGATAATGTTATGGGTTGGCACAGCTAAAACAGCACACGGTTATGACTACCACAGCTAAAACACAGCACATGATGATGACTACCACAGCTAAAACACAGCACATGATGACTACCACAGCTAAAACACAGCACAAGATGATGACTACCACAGCTAAAACACAGCACAAGATGATGACTACCACAGCTAAAACACAGCACATGATGACTACCACAGCTAAAACACAGCACATGATACCACAGCATATAAGAATCTCTATCCTCACCTGAGAATTAATTAATACAAGGCCGGACTGATTGACTCACCTTGATGACAATTCGTGAGTCACAAAACATTGTAAACACCAAACATATAAGACACTAACCTAACCTAACCTAACCTAACCTAACCTAACAAGGTGCTGGTGGGGATGGGAAGTATCGTGACGGTAAATAATTACGCGACACTATCCTCACCTAAATCATCTTTTTGTGTTAGTAAACAAACTGTGGTCGGGAAAGTAGGACAAAAGGGAATTAGTTGAATATGTATTTTTTTGTCTCTCTCTCGCATAGTTTTGTATTTACAGTGATATTAAGTTAATAAAAATAACAGTACAATAATCACCACACACCTGCCTCTCTCAGTAAATAGTGACTGGAGGTATTAACGATATAAATACCTGCTTAGAGGTGTATTAACGATTAGGATGGTAAACATCCTATAGGTACCCCTACCAGGCGTACCAACCTTAAAATTATATGGATTTTTAAATACGACTCACATATTGTTATAAAATTTCATACCTAATTTAAGAACTAAGATATACAATAAACCTATGTATTTTAAATAAACCTTGTGTATTTATATAAGGTTTTTATATTATTGTTTTATATGGTTTAACGTATCTTACAGAGGACTTGGCTATAAGCCCCGCCTCCACCATGACGTCATCGACCACGCGGCCGCCTGGCTTCGTCGAGTGTTACGTCTGCCAAAAGGAGTTCGGATCCCGTTCAATAGAGATCCATGAACCTCAGTGTCTCGCTAAGTGGAGAGCTAACAACTCCAAGCTGCCAAAGTTAGTACATAAGTGTTAATTTTTTTGTTCGTTATCCTCTTGTTATATGAGGGATCTATGTATGTGAATTCCAAATTGTGTGGTGTTATGTTATTCGTCATGGTGTTTACCTTACTCCTTATGGTGTTACGTTATTCACTATGGTGTTACGTTATTCACTATGGTGTTACGTTACCCGTTATGGTGTTATGTTAGTCGTTAGTCTCTCGTTTGATCCTCGAGGTTATAGTGTTATGTATTGTATTGTGATGGTACTGGAAAAATGCTGCGTTTGATAGTGAAAAGTGGTGGTATGGTGTATTAGTGTGGTGATAGTGATGTTGTGGTGTGGTGATGGGGGTACTGTGGTGATAACGGTGTGGTGATGGTGCTAATGTGATGTGGTAGTGATGCCAGTGATATAGTGTTGGTAGTAGCGTGGTGCCAGGTAGTGTGGTGGTGGTAGTGTGGTGCTAGTGATGTGGTAACGGTGGTGATGGTAGTATGGTGTTAGTGATGTGATGATGGTAGTGTGGTGGTGGTAGTATGGTGTTTATGGTAGTGGCAATATGTTACTAGATGTGTTATGGTGCAAGTGTGGTGCTTGTGTGGTAGTGAATAGTGACAGGTGTTGGGGTAAGCAGTATTACAGGTGTGTACAGCAGTCATCCCCCCCCCCACACACACACACCTGTATCAAGTCTTAAGTAAAATACAGTCCAGGTGTGTGTGTGGTGGGGGGGGAGGTAAGTGTTGCATGATTCCAAACCCTCCACTCGTACTTACACACACACACACACACACACACACACACACACACACACACACTCTCACTCACTCACTCACTCACTCACTCACTCACTCACTCACTCAAGGAATGTCTTATCAGTTTCATCAGGTCAGTGTAGAGCTCATCTCTCAACAACAAGAATCGACCAAGAATAATTACTGTACTCTGACCTCGAGTCCTGAGAGTGACACTTGAGTACGATAAGCCTCTTTGACTTTGAGTCCTGAGAGTGACTCTTGAGTACTAAAAGCCTCCAGTACATTATATGAGGTAACAGATCCGACACTGCACTTGATCGTTTTCCTCAGTGTGTGTGTGTGTGTGTGTGTGTGTGTGTGTGTGTGTGTGTGCAGTTCGTCACTCCCACACACTACCCTCTCGTTAACGCGTGTCCTTGGAGGTGCTGTTGGAGAGGGGATGGTGGTGGTGTTGGAGGAGAGAGGTGGTATTGCAGGAGGGGGAGAATAATGTCTGTGTCCTTCTCACGTTTATTTTCTGCTATTTCTTGAAGTATTTTTCACACACACACACACACACACACACACACACACACACACACACACACTTGCACCCAAAAACTGAGATATCTATACACGTCATCTTAGTTCATATTTAGGGAGAGACTAATTCATGTATAATAATAATAATAATAATAATAATAATAATAATAATAATAATAATAATGTATACCGGGTGTTCACATTGTCCCTTGTCAACCCTATGGAACATGGTGGACATAGTGTATATTGCAAGATGATGGTAGGTTAGGTTAGGTTAAGGTTAGGTTTGGTTTGGTTTCCCGTGATTTTTATGCATTTCAGAGTGGCCAGGACATTCTCGTCTTGTACTGACACGACAAGCATGAGTGACCGTCAAGGCCACTCACTCATTACCTGTACTTCCTCAGTCTGTCACTCAGTCACTCTCTCACCTCAGTTCCTCAGCAACTTTCCCTCACTCAGCAACCCTAACCTAACCTAACCTTAACCTATTATTTTCAAACTACGAGAAATGAATCACAGTTCTGCTTGGTTTACATGTCACGCACCGCCAACTTAGACAAATAATGACAGACGTGTGTGTGTGTGTGTGTGTGTGTGTGTGCTCTCTCTCAAGGACTGCAACATAACAAGAGACATTATCAATAACACATGTACATTGCCTCTGGTGTTGAAGGTCGGAACTAGAACTATCGTCTGATGAAATTCCAAGAAGGTGCAATTCACGGAACTTGTGTATGAAAATTAAATGTGTCTGGCTAGTTCCTTGGGGCCATGCGGGGTGTGTGTGGGGAGGTGTCTTTGTGTGTGGGCGTGTGGGAGTATTGGGTCGTGTGTATGGGCGTGTGGGAGGATTGGGTCGTGTGTGTGTATGTGTGTGTAGATGGTGTAAATAAAAACTTCTGCAGTGTAATTTAAAGACCTGCAAAATATTATACATTACATGTAAACACAAATAAACCTTAAAGAGGGTATTCAATAAACCCAAGAACAAAGTGTATTCAAAATCAGATTAAACCCTGGTACTCCATCGACGCTAAATTTAAGAATCCGTAAAAATTTATCCAGCGTTCGTCGATTGTTTTGTTTACTTTCTGTAGTCTGCCCCGCGTCAGTCCAGTCGTCTTGCCAAATACTACTGAATCCACTTTCACCATCTACCCCCTCCCTAGAATGGCGTTCATAATACCTTCAAATCTTTATCCTAGTCTTAAATACTATCTGATAATACACGCAACCACAAAGACGGGCGCTATGTGTGTGTGTACGTTCATTACGCCTCAGTCTAGGGAATATTTACATAGATTTCCCGCCATTACTGACGTCATGCGAGCTTCTTTCGTCTTGTGTAATATTTTGAGCGGATAATGACCTTCTAGCGGGCATTTATATCTCGTAATTTTCCCCCATAACGTTGTAAATATGCAGATTGTAATATTTAGGAACGAGAAAAGGTTATATATATATATATATCAGAAAGCGTGTTTTGTTGTAATTACGTTTATTATTTTGTTATTATTATTATTTTTGTTATTACTACTATTAACTTTATTAATGTTGTTAACATTTTATATATTTTAGTATTATGATTCACGGTATAAAGTTTATTCTCTCTTGTCTGTCTGTCTATCAGTACGTATGATCACGTGTATGTTCATATTTGTTTACATATACTGTGAGTGTATACGGGTTATACATGTCTAGTAAACATACTCCGATGATTGTTATAGTGGTGGTGGTGGTGGTGGTAGTAATATTGTAACTGATAGTGGTAGTGGGGGTGGTAGTGGAGATGATGGTAGTAGTAGTAGTGGTGGTGGTAGTAGTAGTGGTAGTATGTATGTGTTGTATAGTGTATGATTTTATACTGATGTCATTATTCTGTAAATTTAGAAACAGTATAAAAATATCTAATAATCTTTTCTGACATATCTTACGGTGTACCTGTATGTGTAATAATTTTGAAATATCTCTAATCTTCGTAAGTGGAACGCGTGTGTGTGTGTGTGTGTGTGTGTGTGTGTGTGTGTGTGTGTGTGTGTTAGTTGTGAGTCCCCGCTACAGGTCACGTGACTCACCAGTACCTGAATCACTATTGCGTCGCCGGATAGCTCACTCGAGGGCTCAATAATCCATCATTGCTAAATAATTGAGACTGAGTAGAGATATCGATGGAGTGAACGGTCTCTCTCTCTCTCTCTCTCTCTCTCTCTCAACCACCAATCCTCTTCCCCCATCCCATCCCTCTTCCCCTATTCGTCAGCCTGTAACCTACACTAACTATCCAACAGGACAAAATAACATCCTGCCTCAACACCCCCCTCTACCCTCCTATCCTCCTACCCTCTTACACTCCTACCCCCCTATCCTCCTATCCCTTAAGCCTCCTACCCCCTATCCTCCTACCCCCTTTACATATTTTCGTGACGATCGCGTGTATGTTCGTGTTATAAGAGCAACATCGTCCTTACTTGTTGGTATGCTAAGTCTACCCACAGGTGAGGACAATGTTGTTGTGCATGTAAACATTCACGATGTGTTTATGAAAATATGTATGGTTGTTTGTGTGTAGTTTTTTGAGACGGTGTGTATGTTTGTGAGTCATTGTTTATGTTTGTGAGTCATTGTTTATGTTTGTGAGTCATTGTTTATGTTTGTGAGTCATTGTTTATGTTTGTGAGTCATTGTTTATGTTTTTGAGGGATTGTTTATGTTTGAGTCATTGTTGATATTTTGAGGCGTTGTTTATGTATGTGAGTCTTTGTTTATGAGTCATTGTTTATGTTTATGAGACATTGTTTATGTTTTTGAGTCATTGTTTATGTTTGTGAGTCACTGTTTATGTTTGTGAATCACCCTTTTTTGTTTATGAGTCTTTATTTATGTTTGTGAGTTTATTTTTGAGAATCTGTTTATGTTTTTGAGTCGTTGTCTATTTTTGAGAGTCTCTGTTTATGTTTGGGAAGACACTGTATGTTGGATCATGTTAAATATCTCTCACTTATTTGGCCATGAGAAAGACAGTGGAATGCGGAACTTATTACACTTGAGGAAGCCAGGTAGTGAGAGAGAGGTATTACCAGCTTGTTTTACCTAATGATAACCTAACCTGACCTAATTTACCATATTACTAACCTGATTTAACCTAACTTTACCAAACATACTCTAACCTAACCTAACTAATAAACTAATGGGAGGCAAATCGTCAGGTGTTGTGTGTGTGTGTGTGTGTGTGTGTGTGTGTGTGTGTGTAGGCCAATCACCCCTGCGAGCGTGACGACCCACTTGCCCCCTCTTGAGTTCCCTGTCGCCTATACTACTCCCTCATTCTCTTACTGGCCGAGGGAGGGAGTAGGGGGGGGGGGGGGGAGAAGGGAGAGGTTAAGAGGGAGGAAAGGAGGGTTAGAACAAAGGGAGGAGAGGGTTAGAAGGAAGGCTAGGGCAAGAAGGAGGGAAGGATAGAATGGTTAAGGGTAGGAAATAAGAGCGAGAGAAGGCAACAGGTGTGTAAATTAGCAGGTGTAAAGGTGTGGTGGTATAGTGTTGGTGTTTACACAGGTGGAGCAACAGCTGCTTCTCCCTCACAACAGGTATGGCGTCAAATGTAACTGTGAGGGAGAGAAGGGAGGGAAGGGAGAGAGCAGGACACTGAAGCATTGATCACCTTCGGTCTCTGACGTGAGGGAGGGAGGGAGGGTCACTACTGGAGGGAGAATGGAATGTAGGAGGGATGGGGGGGAAGGGTGAGCAGGGGTTGAGATTATGGAGAGTAGGGGAGGAAATAGGAAGGAGGGAGGTATGATGGAAGGTAGAGACGGGAGGAGGGAAGATGAAGGGTAGGGGAAGGAGAGAGGAGGAGGTAGGTAAGATAGAGGGTTGGGGGGAGGTGGGGGAGAGAGGAGGAACGCGATGGGGAGAGGGGGAGTAGGGAGGTAGGAGTGGGAGGTTATTTGGAGGGGAAGGGAGGAGGTTTGAGGTTGTTGTGGGGAGGATAAGGGGTTGTGGGAGAGGAAGGGGTGATTGTGGGGAGGGGAGGGAGGGGAGTTAAATGTTAAGCTGACATTTACCTTCTCGCAATTTAAGCATTTATAAGAACAGCTGTGATGCCTCTCGCGTCCTTTTTGACTCACTCGCGCGTGCAACATTCCTCGGCTCGGGTGCGAAAGTCTTTATCCTTGAGTGCGAAATCCCTCGAGGTCGGAATCCTATACTGTATATTTCGCACACTCGGGGTTAGGTGCGACTGTGTGTGTGTGTGTGACAGCATACGTAACATTCTTCAGGTCACGGTAGACAGTCTTCTCCTTTCCGCGACAGTGTTCCATCCCCCAGGAGCCCAAGTCACTACGGATGGGACAGTGTGACAGCGACCCAGAACATGTTCCGTTGGTCAAGTGCTCCGGGGTTCCTTGAGTTCTTCGACAAAGTGCGATGGAACAGGTAACGAATGACCTTGTGTTGTGACGAGGATCAAGTGTTACAGTGGATGAATGAAACACTCTTGTGGTGGTCATTGTAGTGTGGTGGTAGTGGAGTTGCTGCAGTGGTGTGGTAGTGTGATGCCGGTGTGTGAGTCATTATCGTGGTACGTGTGGTAGTAGTAGTAGTGATGGTGGTGGTTATCAGGTAGTTGACCCACACCACAACTTACACCCAAGAGTATTGCGTGTTCCAACAATCTGTCGAACTAATTTCAGACCAGTGTTGCGAGACAAGTGTAATGTAATGACCAATTGGGGCATATTACTCACTAGGTAGAATTTTCAAGCCCCCTCACCTAACCTAACCTAATCTAACCTAACCTAACCTAAACCTAACCTAACCAATTAATGTCGGGTTATAATCAATCATATATAGGGTCGTGTTAGTGTGTTTTTCTCAAGTGATTACGGATACAATATAGATCTAATTAAGGAAATAATTAAAAAAAAAAAAAATCTAGGATATTTATAAAGTTAATTGTGGAAAATATTTTGAAGTTTAATTAGTTGAAGGAGCTTGTAAATTGTTCTATACTTAAGGTTTCTGCATCTTGAGTGGACCCCCCAAAAAATAATGGTCATGTTTTATCTCTCTCTCTCTCTCTCTCTCTCTCTCTAATTAAGTATTGGTAGTTAAATAGGGTAGGTGGTGTCCGTAGATTATATAGACTTAAACCACGGACGTTTATCATGAACAGTTACTACGGACACTTTCCACTAGTGCTTGTCTCTTGGCACCCCTTCTCCCTCCCTCTCCCCCCTCTCTCTCTCCTTCTCCCCCACCTTCTAACCTCCCTCCCACTCTCCCATCCTCTACCCACCTCACCACCTCCAAATCCAACCTCCCACCTCACACACCCTCACCACCTCACACACCCTCACCACACCCACCTCACACACACCTCACCACCCTCACCACCCTCACCACCCTCACCACCCACGCTAGTAAATAAATGAGTCATTATCTCCTTAGTAATTAGCTCGTTACGTACCCTGAGGTAATAAAAAGACAAAAATAAACAACTATTGACCCTCACACCCCAAGTGGTCCTGTGTACCGCTGGAAGACACACACACATACATACATACATACATACATACATACATACATACATACATACATACATACATACATACATACATACATACATACATACAAATAAATAACTCTAGGTGCTCGTGATTCATGTACAATATGTTTTTTTCTATGTGATTATCAGCATATACGTACGTACACACACACACACCTGCATATTTCACTCTCTCTCTCTCTCTCTCTCTCTCTCTCTCTCTCTCTCTCTCTCTCTCTCTCTCTCTCTCTCTCTCTCTCTCTCTCTCTCTCTCTCTCTCTCTCTCTCTCAACAAGATGGTGGACACGCAGGTTTACCATTTTGTCCATAAACCATGAATAATATGACCTTATCAGCCTCCTAAGCCAAGGATTGTGAGTTCGAGTCCCCAGGGTTAGGATATGTATTGTGTGTGTGAGTATATACACACACACACACACACACACACAGACACACACACACACACACACACAGACACACAGACACACACAGACACACACACACACACAGACACACACAGGCACACACACACACACACAGACACACAGACACAGACACACACACACACACACACACACAGACACACACACACACACAGAGGTAGGTAGTTCTAGTACGTCTGAGTTTGATGGATTAAATAAGTGAGTTCTGTGGACTTAACGCCCATGGGTAATTAACAGTTTCAAAAAAAAATATCAGCCTCTTACCTTACCTTAATTTGGAATATCATTAATTGTAGTTAGTTTGTTTCTCTTGGTTATTTGACGGTAATTAAGTGTAATTAAGTAGTTTTGTTCATAATAGTAATAATCTCCACTTTGGTGTGTGTGTGTGTGTGTGTGTGTGTGTGTGTGTGTGTGTGTGTGTGTCTGTGTGTGTGTGTGTGTGTGTGTGTACCATTGCAGTGTTGTATACCACTGTCTTCCTCCCCCAAGGTTGTAATAACACGTGTAGGTGACCTCGGCGGTGCGTAGTAGCTGTGTTAATTAATAAGTACTTACCTGTGGTTACCTGTCCTTCGCTTAGCATAGCATTTAACGAGCCAGAAGAGTTACATGTGGTTTATAGTTTAGGTTTAAGTTAGGTTTAAGTTTGGTTTGGTTTGGTTTAGTTAATTTTGGTTAGGTTAGATTCGGTGTAGGTTACTTCAGCTAAGGTTAGGTTAGGGCACGGTATGTTACTTTTGGTTTAGATTAGGTTTATGTTAGCTTAGTATAGATAAGGTTAGGTTAGGTTTAATCTATATAACATTAAGTCTAGGTTAAGTTAATCTACAGTGCTTCTTAACCCTATAACAACACGTATACATATAATTATACATTCATGGAAAGTATACATACCATTAAAAACTCGCTACTATAAAATATACATTCCCAAGACCCGCATAAACAAATGACACACGCTAAGGTAGAACTATTCCCCGTGATATATTTCAGTGCAGTTGAGTATATTTCTTATTTTTGATCTATATTCCTCGTCGTAAATATAAGTGCTACGTGTGTGTGTGTGGGGGGGGGGGTGGGAGATGGGGGGGCGGGCGGGTGATGTGGGTGGGCAGGAGAGAGAGAGAGAGAGAGGGCGGGGGAATCATGAACCAATCATGGGCGACCTTCAATGACGTCATTTTACATCCAGCCAATCATGTTCGTTTGAGAAGTTGACGTTTGTACCTTGTCTCCTCCTCCTTTTTCTCGTTTCTCTTCCTTCTTCTTCTTCTTCTTCTACCCATTTTCTCATCCTTCCCCCCCCTGTCTCATCCTTATCCTCCTTATTTCTCTCTTTATTCCTCTTCCTCTCCTTGCTCATTCTCAATTCTCACGTTTATCATCCTTTCTCATACACTTGCTCATTTCTATCTTCCGTATCTTTCTATTATTCTTTTCATACATTATACTTATCATTTTCTCACCATATTCCTTCGTTCTTCTTTTTTATACACATTTATTCATTGCTTTTTCTTTCTTTATCGTATTTTCTTTGTTTCTCATTATTCACACACACACACACATTCAGGTTAGGTCAGGTCAGGTCAGGTTAGGTCAGGTCAGGTTAGGTTAGGTCAGGTCAGGTTAGGTTAGGTCAGGTCAGGTTAGGTTAGGTATGTCCTTAAATCATACTCTTTTGGCCGTCTGTGTGATGGTTGAAGGGAATGTCGACCTTCATGCACCCGGGGTTAAGGTCGACTTTCAGCGGCGTCACGTCTCTAGAGTTTAAGGTCGAGGTTCAATGTCACCTCTCGTGTGAATCACTAACTACGAGAGAGAGAGAGAGAGAGAGAGAGAGAGAGAGAGAGAGAGAGAGAGAGAGAGAGAGAGAGGTATTATGGCAAAATGTGAACCAAAAATAAGCAAAAATTCATAAATTTCGTCTCTGTGGTGTTGATGAAGGTCTTGAGGTGGATATTGATGGGGGTCTTAAGGTGGATATTGATGGGGGTGTTGATGGGGGTCTTGAGGTGGGCGGGCGGTCGCAACACACACACACACACTCTTCAGGAAACATCAATAACAACTTACAACTATTGGGTTCCTTCGTCAGGTCGAGGCGGGAGGCGTCACCATCACCGCCCCCTGGCCACCCACTCCACGGGGCACAACTACAGGTCGACATGTCTCCTTCGCCCTCCGTCTACACGCCCACCTCTGACCCCGATGAACTGAGCTCCTCCTGGCCAGACCAACGCCAGCATCTCTCCCGAAGAGCCGACGGACGCCCTCGTTCTGCCTCCCAAGGACACGCTGAGAAGAAGAACCGACCCGGCACTGCCACCCTCAGGAGACCTAAGGTTTGTGGACCCCTTCCTCATACTGCGGTCTCTCATACTGACCTCATACTAATATTGTGATCCACTCATACTGACCCCGCATACTGTGTTACCTCATACTGACTGTTTATTCATATCTTCCACCCTCAGACCACCAAGATATTAACAATCAGTGTGTTTACCTTTTAACAATACCTCATTAATAAGAGACTTAAATGGCAATATTAACTTGCATGAGGTGAGGTGAGGTTAGGTTAGGTTAGGTTAGGTTAGGTTAGTATTGAGCTTAATTAACCATCTTCTTGTTTACCTATAACCATCATACTCCCTATTATGCTCAGCTACCATTTATCCTCCCCTTCTCTTTCTTCTTTCCTTTTCCTTCTCTTTTCTTTCTTCTCTTCCTCTATCTTCTCTTCGTTTTTCCATCTTCTAATCCTCTTCTACCTCCTTATCCTCTTCCTTGTTGTTTTCTTCTATCTTCACTTCCTCTTCTCTTCCATCTCCCCCTCTTCCATATTTTCTCCCATATCCAACCAACACCCCCATCCATCCCCCACCTACCATGCATGTTTACTATCCCAGCCATCCACCATCCATAGGTACTTGACATGAGCCTGAAGAATGCCGTGGACATGAGTGAGATGACTCGCAGTATGGTCGACCAGTTAATCCTGTCCCGCGAATCTCAGAGTGGGTTCAGCGATTACTCCAGCGATTTCACCAACTCTTCCTCCTCTTCTCCTTCTTCTTTGGGTAGCAAGAGCTCCTTTGATGATTCGGGAGACTCAGAGGGCGAGCATAGGAGGGTGAGTTGTCGATTATTAGCCCAAAAGTACAGTAAAAACCTTTATTTAATGGATTTTATAGTTGGAAATCCGTTATATCGGGGTGTCCGTTAAATGCGAAACCTTTATTTAATGGACTATTTGGAGAGGAAAGTCCATTATATTGAAGGTTCGTTAGATGTGAGAGAAGTCCATTATATGGAGGTTTTCACTGTACATAAGTCGAGTGTGAGCTTTTAATTTGGTCATTGTGAGTCGAATGGTGGTTGTTGACTCGCCTCGCTCGACCTTGACCCCTCCCCCTTCCCCTCATCTCTCCTCTTCCCTCTCCCCAAATCTAGAAAGGTAAGTGTTTTAATTAGCACAGGTAGAGGTGTAGTAGGTAGGTGAGGGAAGGTGTGGTTTGACGAGACGAAAATAGAGAGTGTTAAGTCATCGTGTGGGAATTGTTGTTAACCTTAAGTTCTCGTTCTTGAGGGGCTAAGTCATCGCACTCGGGTGTTTTAAGCTTTCACACTCAAAAGGTTTTAAAAAGTCATCGCACTCAAGAGTTTTAAGTCATAGTACTCAAAAGGTTTAAGTCATTGTACTCAAAATCATCAAACTCAAGGGCTAAATCATTAAACTCAAAAGGTTAAGTTATTGCACTCAAAATGTTAAGTTATTGCACTCAAAATGTTATATCATCGCACTCAAAAGGTTAAGTCATCGCACTCAAGGATTAAATCATCTCACTCAAAAAATTAAATCATCGCACTCAAAAAATTAAGTCATTGCACTCAAAATCATCGCACTGAAGTATTTAAGTCATCGCACTCAAAAGGTTAAGTCATCGCATTCAAAAGGTTAACCCATCGCACTCAAAACAAATTGGTGGGGGGGGGGGAGGGGGTTATGTTAAGAGAGCCGGTTGATCATCCTAGCCACGCCCGTACAGAACCAGCGGCCGTCCACAATGCGACTACCAAGACCATCCCGCAATATAGCTGTACCCGTCATCACCTCCGCTTCACGCCCTACCAGGAAAACCTCCTCTCTTAGAAACTTCGTGCCCAGAAATCGTCGGCGTCCACTGGAGGAGGTGTTTATGGGACCCAAAAATAAAGTTAAGGTAAAAGATATAGAATAATAATAATAATATTAGGAAAAGGAAAAAAAATCATGCAATTACGCGCACGTTTATGCATTGTAATTTTTTCAGACTGTTGTTGTGGTTATGGATCGTTGAGCCTGATGTCTGATTATTATTATTATACCTGCATGTCTTATTGTTTATTGATGCAAGTTTTTTCCGCCACTGACACGTATACTAAAATTATTTATCACATGTTTAAAAAAATAATTATATGATAGATGTTGTCTTAGTTGATATTAAATATAGTAGTGTTTGAGATGTTAATTGATGTTTATTTAGGTGTTTTTTTTATGTATGTTGATGTCTTGATGTTTCTTTTCACTAATTAGATGTTTTGTGATGGGGGTTTATTAAAGGATATACAGTACATAGGCAGCACCTGTAGAATCTTCACCCCAATTTAATTCACCTGAAGATTAACTACCCTAATGCTAACCTAACCTAGCCTATTCTAACCTGTCCTGTCCTTAATCATCAGGTGAAATATGCCGGGGTGGAGACTCCTCAGGTGAGTCCATACATAATCGTGTGTGTTATTAAGAGTTTACTCACCTGCACAATCGCACCTGTTGGACTTGACCAATCACTTCACTGGATTACAAGTCTTATGTATTTTTCATGTATGATTATGCTCGTTAAATGTTCTTGGTGTTATAAAATGTTATCATAATACTCTTTACCTGTCATAATACTCGTTAAACCTGTCAAAACATTCCTTGAATACTCCACCTGTTGTAATTCTTGTCATAATACTCTCCCACCTGTCATTATACTTTTCCACTTGCCATTATACTTTCCCACCTGTCATTATACTCCCCCACTTGCCATTATACTCTCCCACTTGCCATTATACTCTTCCACGTGTCATAATACTCACTGTGTCCCTACAGATCCCCGAACCCTGCAAGACGTGCGGCAAGGAACAGAACCCCGAGCGCTTCCACAGTCACCCTCTCCACATGCTCAAGTTCAAATCCAAGGGAGATGAAAAAAGCAAGTCGAAGCCCTTTAAGCTGATCGTGACCAAACCCACGGCCCTCAAGTTCAAGAGTAAGAGTTTAGATGAGGAGAAGAAGAATCCAAGTAGGAAAAGTAAGCTTAAACCTCCTAATGTGATCCAAAGGAATGCTCATAGTGTGGGGAGTTCTCCTATAGTGACGAAGAAGAGCCATCGTGATAAGGAGAGGAATGCGTCACACCATAAGATTGTTCCTTTGAAAAAATTTATCCAAAACCAAAAGGCTTCCATTAGTGAAGGACAGAAAGACTTTAATGTTGAAATTTACGATGGGGATGCCTCTCCTAGGAATGTGAGTGAAAGTAATATCAATCCGTTATCTCAGAGACAACGCGATATGACGTTAAAGGAAAATGGGGAGAGTAATGGTGTTATGGGTCTTCATAAAGCGGCGACACATCCTTCTCGAGGTATGGGGAAGATTGAGGAGGAGAGTGATAGTCCTACAGAGACCCAAGGTGATGCAGGGGCGCCGCCGTATAAGCCGCCACCTTCCACCTTGAACAACACCAACACTAGGCTCAATACCTCGCGTACCCTCGTCTGTTTCATCTGTGGGAGAGAGTTCGGCAGTAGGTCTCTTCCCATCCACCAGCCACAGTGTTTAGAGGTGAGTATAAGGCTGTGTTGTTCTTATTTATACTGTACTCCAAGACTGGGGGAAAATAACACACACACACACATTGTTCTCTGTCCGAAAGTGTTTTAAAAATTCACTTTCGTGTAATTTTCTCCTCGTAAATATTGACCGAATCTCGAACACATCAAACTGGTCCAATTTTAGCTACAACATTAGCACAGCGGCCAACACAGTCTCAGAATTACTCAAAGAATCATACATAAATTAGTAGCTTTGTTCTTAATTAGGTATTGGAATATGTACGATTTTTTATTGTTGTTGAGAAGTATTGTATCTATGAAACTCGTACGCTTATCAACGTTTTATTGTTTAGTCTGCGATTCGATAACGTAACATTGAGAATCTCTGTGGGATTATCGTTAAAAAGTTGTCCTGCTGTTGTATCCCGAGTCCTATTCATCATTGTGGTGTAAATACAGTCCAAATAACATACAATACAACTATCGTTTCTACAATACACCAATACAATGCAACTATCGTTTCTACAATACACCAATACAACTATCGTTTCTACAATACACCAATACAACTATCGTTTCTACAATACATCCCTCCCTCTCCATCCCCTTCTCTGTATGAATAATTATTTTTATCTAAACTTTATCTGTAACGTGTTCAGCTACCGTCAATTACTGGGGGGCTGAATTGTGTGTAATTCTAGCTTGCGTGTCTAACCAAGTCGACGAAAATTACGGTAACCAGAGTAAATGAAGTATGGCGGGGCGATCCTTCACAATTTTAACCCCTTGACCTTTCTATGCTTTTTAACCTTTGACCAGCCACAGACATTAACCTTTCCTTCATTCGTTATAGTTTTGTTATTCTCTTCCTCTTTCTCTATTTATATGATCACTGATGTTGAAAAAAAATTGCAGACTACTATTTTGATGTGGTATTATTGTCTTAGCTATAAACAGTGCAGGCGGGAAAATTAACATGCGTTGCCAGATGCCGCCACCAACACACCCCAGGGCGACGGTTCAGTGTTGGTGGGGTGAATTTCAATGACTCACGGTTTCTCTATGTAATTATTATTCATTATATATTTTTTACATCACCTTTATATACTCCTCAAGCTCTCATAATATGTCCTTGGTGTTGAGTAAGTAGTTTTTTTTTTATATAGAACTGGGGTAAAAATTTTGCTTTAGGTAGGTTGGTATTATTCCTGTAATTATCGTGAAGCGGGCAACTGGTAGCTCGGAAGGGAGGCAGAGGGAAGGAGGAAACTAGGCAGGGAGGGGAGGGAAGGAGGCCAAGCAGGGAGAGACGCAGGCAAGCAGGGAGGGAGGGAAGCAGTGGCAAGGAACATAAAAACGTATCTTTCCATGACGCAGGGAGGGAGGGAAGCAGTGGCAAGGAACATAAAAACGTATCTTTCCATGACGCAGGCAAGCAGGGAGGGAGGGAAGCAGTGGCAAGGAACATAAAAACGTATCTTTCCATGACGCAGGCAAGCAGGGAGGGAGGGAAGCAGTGGCAAGGAACATAAAAACGTATCTTTCCATGACGCAGGCAAGCAGGGAGGGAGGGAAGCAGTGGCAAGGAACATAAAAACGTATCTTTCCATGACGCAGGCAAGCAGGGAGGGAGGGAAGCAGTTGCAAAGAACATAAAAACGTATCTTTCCATGACGCAGGCAAGCAGGGACGGAGGGAAGCAGTGGCAAGGAACATAAAAACGTATCTTTCCATGACGCAGGCAAGCAGGGAGGGAGGGAAGCAGTGGCAAGGAACATAAAAACGTATCTTTCCATGATTACCAAGAGCCTAGCTACACCCAATACCTTCACCAAACTAACTCATCCCTTGCTTGGGGTTGTGAGATAGGCGGCCCTCGACACAAGACACATGCTGACGTACTATATATTTTCGAAGACTTATACGATCATTAATCCTCATAATTAAGAGATACAGTATTATATTTTTTTTTAATATATATCTAATCGAACTTAAAATGACATTTAGGAAGTAATAAGCCTAAAATAAACCTCAAATTTACACACGAGACGTTAACTAGAAACGTTTATGTTACACCATATAAACCTTATGGTATTTAGGAAACGTTTCTTTGGTGATAAGTGAACGTTTGTTAAGTAAGGTATTTGCGGTGTTGTTTTTAATTTATTTTTGAACGCTAAATTTGTGTTTTATCAGAAGTAAAATAGTTGAGTACATTTTATATCTTAGGTGTGTGTGTGTGTGTGTGCTTATGTATGTGTGTGTATATGTACAGTATGTGTGTGTGTGTGTGTGTGCGTATGTGAGAGTTAGAGACCAGGTTTAAATAAGAGTGATGACTGATTTTTCTTTCAGCTTCGGAAATTACAAATTGAGTCGACATAATTTACTTCAGTCTTTCGTCGACTTGTGATTTACCTGTGTTGCGTGAAGCGGTGAATTACTGATCTGTTCTGACACACACACACACACACACACACACACACTCGCTTATCTGTTGTACGTGTTTCGTGCACGTGACGAACATACAGACACGTGTGCTTGAGGGAGGGAGGGAGGCGTGTCGGGCTGACGGCTGGTTTTAAGTAATTAACGATTTTCTAGGGGGTGGAGGTACAGAGGGGGAGAGGGATAGGGTAAAGAGGGGAATGGAAAGAAGAGGGTTGGTTGGAGGTAGAAAGTGAGACAGAGAGAAGAGAGAGAGAGAGGATGACTAGGAAGGAGGGATAGGGAAAGGAAATACGTCGTGACATTTGTGGTATGTACACTATTTCCTTTGAGGTGGAGGGGAACGACCATGTCCATCCCACGTCAAGACAGTGGCCATGCGTGTCCATGGGGATGTGTGTGTCTAGTGGTATTATATGGGCGTTGATAGAGGGGAGGGGTGTGTTTTTGTTCAGGATGTGTGCGTATGTGTGTGTGGGGTTGGTGTGTAGCCTATGTGTATTTGTGGGTGTACGTCTGTATGTGTGTGCCGGGGGGGGGTGTGTGTTTGTGTGTGTATGTTGTGAAAGAGGTAGAAAAAGAGAGTGAGGAGTGTGTTAATTGTGAGGGAAGGAGTAGAAGAGGTGAGAGAGGAGTAGGAGTAGGAGGGAGAGGGGAGTAGGTGGGGTGAAGGGGTGAGAAAAAATAGAGGTGGGGATGGGAGGGGGTATGAGATGTACTTGTGAGGGAGGGGAGGGAAAGGAGGGACAGAGAGTATTAGATGTACTTTATGGTGAGGGAGGGAGTGTGAGTTGGACCAGGTGAAGGTGACCATGCATCATCATATTGATCAGCTACAGTTTACACACAGGTAACTCTGGCTGTTGAGCTGTTTGGTCTACCTGCCTGTGTTGACTCTCTTGTGTTACTGATCCTCGGGTACTGTATGGTGTTCTGATGGTGTTGTATGATGTTCTGATAGTGGTGTATGATCTGTATGATGTTCTGATGGTGGTGTTATGATGTTCTATCGTGTTGTATGATATTCTGATAAGTATACTAATATTGTGGGTCGCCTATACAACAAAACAACACGAAAATTCCTTAAGTAAAGTTTATTCGTTTTTTTTTATCAATTCTTTCATATATTCGTATTTTTAATTGTTCCATCACTATCATTACGTTCAGATTCTTGATATATTGTCCTTCTTCTGCGTGTATGAGTGGCTGGCAGATGTCACTTAACGTAGGGCAGGGAGGAGGTATAGGGGTTGATGGCTCTTAGGCAGGTGGCAAATGTTCTTTAAATACATCTAATCAAGCTCATTTATAAAGTCAACCTCTGTTATTAGTAGTGGATAGTTATGTTTCACCTGAAGATTAGCTCCCCCCTTCTAGTTTATGAATCATCTTGGTATAGTTACATGATCAAGTGTTCGTCTAATTGTGTCAGTGACCTTTACCTTGCCTTGACCTGACCTGACCTTACCACTGATAGATACTAACCTACTGTGTGCGTATCGCGTCTAACAATGTACCAAGGGTGGGTGTGTGTGTTGGGGTGACGGGGAAGGAAAGAGGTGAAAGATGGGGTGGGTGGGGTGAAGGAGGGGAGGTGATGTAAAACTCGCTCATGGTAAACCCAAGGTGATGATAATTATGATGGTGGTCACGTGGTATTGCCCCTACCTTCACTCTCCCCCACCTCCACATTCTCACCCCCTACCTAACTCTCTCCCCTCAACCCTCCCGCAGCCCCCCCATCAACAGGGGTCATTCACCTCTCACCACCCCCCACCACCATACACCAGCATGACCTTAGTCTTCTGTATACAAACAAAGAGGATGATAATAATGTTGGAATTATATATCATGTGTCAGTCTCAAATTCGATAAAGGAGGTCAAGATCTTATAAAATAACTAATACGTGATCATGTATCCTTCTAAATGGCGATTGTATGTATTATAATGTGAATGTCTGCAAAAAAATACAAATAAACATTAAAAATAACAAGTTGAGTGCGCCAAGGTCACACCATATTCACTAAGGTTCATGAGGGTTATGTTAGAAGATGTTTTTTTTTAGATCGCTTTGTTGGGCAGTGCTGGATATAAGCCTGTTCCAATATGATTCAATATATCCTTGGGAGATAGAGTAAATTTCCAAATACGAGACTTTTCATGAATTATTGGAATTTTTTGTCTTGTAAGTAATACTGGAATAATATTATGGTTACCTTCTTGCAATATATATATATATTATTTTACCCCCCAAATTTTTAAATATTAACAATCTCAAATTTTTGAAAATATCAACTCCAGAAAGTTTAAAATATCAACTTATTCCTCAAATTTTTAGAATACTGTATTTACTTAACCCTCAAATCTTTCTCGTCACCAAAATGTCAAAATAATCCTCCACTGACGATTGTTTACTACATGTGACCACCACCACCTCTTCCTCCTGCAGAAGTGGAAGAGGGAGAATGAGCGCCTACCAAAGAACCTGCGTCGTCCAGTGCCTCAGGAGCCTGACCATCACCTAACACAGGAGGAGTGGAACCACTTCGCCTGGAAAACTGCGCAGGTAAGTCAGTCATTAGTATCTCTTGATGGTTCAGGTGTGAGCGGGAGGTTTGTGTGGGTGGGGGCTATGTCAGGTGTGTGTGTGTGTGTGTGTACAAGGTCAGATATATGACGTGTTGTATGCATGTATGATTAGTGTGGTGTGTATGTGTATGGTATAGTGTGTACAGTATGTTAATACCTATACATATGGCACAGGGGTGTACAATGTGTGTATACTATATGCATCTGTAATATTCTAAATAATCGTATTCATTATTTTTTATGTAACCAATATTCCTTTGTATTTCTTTAATAATTTCAAGATTAATTTATCGTAAATTATTTCCTATAAACAAAGATATTTTACCTACAAAAATATTCACATTTATTTACACAATTTCACAAACGGATATAAAACAAATGCTACACAACTTTTATTTGGCTTTTAACCTCCTCAGGATCTTGGATATGAAGTTAGTTAAATTTATAAACTAATGAGTTACATAGATGTGTGTTTTATATAACTTATGTGTGTATCTTGTGTGTGTGTGTGTGTGTTTTTAAATAATACTGTGTGTATCTTGTGTGTGTGTTTTTTTCTGAATTAATTTTTTGGGGGAATTTATATCAAGGTGTTCCAATATTCTCTGATTATTTTTCGTATAATTGTATTGTAATTATTGTTTTATTTACTGCATGTTTATCAGGCTTTCTATGTCTTCCTAGTTTTATATAATTTCCTATAAGCTTTCTATATTATAATGGATTCCTGTTATTCCTTTATATTTGGTCAAGCCACAGATCTGATTTTTCAATTATGTGGAATCGTAAACTCTTGAGTAAGATATTGATCTCTGAGTACAGTGAATTAGCCCAGTACAGTTATCTTGAGTACAATGACAATATCTTTAGTACAATGTCTTAACCCCTTGAGTATGAGTCTTACCCCTTGAGTACGATGTCTTAGCCCCCTGGATTACGATATCTTAACCCCCCTTGATTACGTTGTCTTAACCCACTTGAGTATAATGACACAGTACTTTTGAAGTTATCATTCTTGAAGGGTTAAGTAACATTTTGTACAAGCCACTTAATAATAACATTTCATAGTAAGTAAGTTAAATCTATGTATTGTAGTATTTTTTTTAATAATTCCATTGTATATTTCTATTTTATGTAATGTGTATTTAATAATGGTCCCAAGATGATATGCATTGTTTGTTATTTCCGTGTTACATTATTTCAGGTGTTTTTTTTATGTAATGTGTATTTTTTAAATTGTGAACCCTGATCCTTAATTAGCATGTAAAGTGGGGGGGGGAAGAAAGATCAAACTAACGTGTTTATATAGTAAAGATGGTCTATATTTATAAGAAAATGTATATAAAGGTGATTTAAAACTTATGGGCACAGCGTAATTGACCTTTTAAATGTTCTAAATATCTTTAATTATTTCAAAGGTAATTAATTATGGTCCTAAGAAGATATGCATTGATGGATATTTCTGTGTTACGTTAATTATTTCAGGGTATCTGTACGTGTAATTGTTATATTGGATGAATGAATGAGTGTGAGTGGAGAGTATGTGTGTGTGTGTGTGTGTGTGTGTCAAGTGTTTGTATGACTGACGATGTGAGTGGAGAATACATGACTGTAAATGACTTGACAATTAATTGGTAGTTAATGTTGCTTCTGGTGTTGATGATTTCATGTCTACCACAATCACTACCACTATCACCACCACCATTACTACCAACCAGCACCACCACCGTCACAAGTACCACCAACCACCACCATCACCAGTACTACCAATCACCAATTCACCACCACCACCACCTATTCCCCCAGGTAACAACAATTGGTGTTAATGGTAGGTCGGCTGTCACGTTGGCAGGGGGAAGGGGGGTGTTGACTTAAAGGGTGTGTTGTTGTGGGCAGGTGTACAGTACAGGTGAGCTCGTGATGGGGGAGGGGGGGGTGGTGACTCACGTGCACGAACGAACGCTTGGTGTCGACGGCTACATACAGTATCCACATATTGATCACAGCATGACAAAGCAGGTGTGAACTAAAAGACATTGACGCTTTTCCAGAACATATTCTAAGATTGATGATGACTTTTTAACCCAATGCAACTATATTAACCTAACCCTTGATTTAATATATCCTTCTGAATTGTAACATCTTTGGCATTTATAAAAAAAAATGTGTTGTTAGGTTTCCATGGTAACTAAGTGGGTGCTGGTGTTACGTAGTTTAGTTGAAGACATGGAATGTGTAGCAGGCGCGTCATAAGCAGTGTGTGTTGACTCGTTGTGCAGGCAAGGTTGGTGCAAGGGTCTTCTGTGGTCCCTCGCCTCCTATACATCTAGACTATTGAATATTGGCATCTTGTAACAACCCATCATCATGAACAAGCGGGTTGGTATTTTTAGCTGTGGATTGTTTATTAGTTGGTAGTGATAGGGGTGGGGGGGGGTTATCACCGGAAGAGAAGACTGTTGTTTCCTTAGGAGGTGTCTTCTTGTATAGTCTACCACCTCCAGTTGATGCTCTTGCGTTGTGAGTCATGCCGGGTCAAATTGATGCCTGAAAACAGTCCATCACACGTCCCGAGTCAGAGGGAGTCACACATAGTCCTCCTGGAGTTGCTCTACCCACTTCTTCCAGGTTTTCCTTCAGTCCTAAGTCTTGTACAGTATTCTTGTTTTATGTTCACTTTATCATCCCCATTCTTGAGGTAAACAGTTTGTATAGCTGGTTGTTGTAGTACTGTAGACAATTAAGAGACTTCATGGATCTAAATGCTGAATGTAACTGATCAAATGTAGGTAAATAAAGGTTTATTAGTTAGGTGTCCTTCCTGTCGCCATTCAAGTTAATAATGTGAGGTGAAGTGAAATGTGACATGGACAAGTTTTGAAGACATTGTGCTAAAAATATATGTATACTGTGTATGAAATGATCACCTGAAAATTCTACCACCCGGTAATTTGACATGGCAATTATATCACCCTAATTCTATACCTGGGGGGGTTAAGTTAGGTTAGCATTTAAGTGATTAATTTGACCTAATCTAACTTTGACCCCCTCCCCAGGGAGAATTGAGGTGTTTAATCATTGTTTTACACTCTCTTTTAAATGTCTCTTATTTACTGCGGTAGATTACATCATAAATTCATATGTAAACAGTCTTATTACAGTTCATTTTAGAGATAATTTTATAAGAGTTCATTGTCTTACTTGTTAGGATTGTGTATTACGTTGTGTGTCACTTGTGATATAGGTGAGGGGGACGAACAATAAGCGAGGATCATCAGATGGTGAAGTCGACAGCACGAGTCACCTATGCCAGCAGGAGCAGCAGAATCATCACCAGCAGAACGATGAGGATTTCCTGGTCAGCTGATCCCCTCGCCTCGTTTCGCACTTCTTGTTTCGCCTTGTGACTTGTCCTCCACCATTACCCGTGTGTTCACCCAGCTCGTGCCTTCGCTTGGAAGGTCCTGTACTGCGTCATCATATTGCCACCTATCCCCGTCTCCCGATAGTCGAACTGATCACAGTACCTCACTCACTCACTCTCTCCGATTGACCCAGTAAGATTTGGCTCTTCAGACAGACAAGGAACGTGTGATCAAAAGGAGAACAGTGGGAGGAGGTGCAGCGTGTGGTGGCTCTGTCAAGACCTTTGCGTGCTTTTTTCCTCCTTTTTTGTATTCATTCGCGTTTTGTACATAGTTTAAATCCGCCTTTTTACGTCCAGTTTTCTCATGATATTGACTTTATTATTGTTGTTTTTTGTATGTCATTCTTTGTTTGATTCTCAGTGTATCTTTATCGATGATGATATTGGTATTATTGCTTGCAGTGACCCTCCCTGCATAAAAGGTCAAAATTATTCAACATTTACAGTCTAGTCTTTCTCTTACACTTACACACACACACACACACACACACACACCCACACTACACCTCTGCTGTGAATTGATTACATTTTCTTTTCAGTGCCTCTATATTTGCTTCTTAGATGTAAAAAAAATATATACATTTAATTTGCAGGAGACTGACTTTTATATCAGGTGATTGAAAAATACCTGGACGCCTGTTAATAACTACAGTATACGGTTTATTTTGCTCCTTGTTATACCGACATTGTTATGTATTTTGCTGTGCATACGTAAATTGTATGTGTATGTTGACAATGAACTTAAATTGTCAGGCTATTGTGAGAAGAAGGTGAAGCAGGCCAAGTGGCTAATGAACCGATCAGTGGAGAAGAGGATAAAAGTAAAAGTATATCTTGTACCTATATTGTTATATACCTTCTTCTACTTAGAGTAAATATTGGAAATGTTATCCTGTTCTATCATTTATTTTGACCATTTCCAATAGTTTACTGTATGTATAACAAGGTATATAACAATGCAAGTATGGTGAGGTATATATCAATGTAGGTATAACAAGATATTTAACAATGTGTACAGGGACTTTTTAACACCTGTACATAATGCATGATGCTTAAGAAGTCTGTCATGATGTATATAATGTGTGTATGAATGTTCTGATATTGTGTGTGTATGTATGTATGTATGTATGTATGTGTGTGTGTGTGTGTGTGTGTGTGTGTGTGTGTGTGTGTGTGTTCTCTATTTGTTCTCTGAAGCTAAAAAATTGCTTTCTGGAATTTTAAAATTTTCTTAGAATTTGTAGTTTTTTACCAATACGATGCACTTCTTTTTTTTTTCAGAATCACGATTTTTCTTAATTTCGTGCTGTGTAAAAAAAAATATATATATATAGAGAGAGAGAGAGAGAGAGAGAGTTGTTGATGTGATGTTATAGTTGTTTTATGTGTGTTGTGATGACGAGACACAATTGTTGCATATTTAAGAGGCAATATTAACAATGGTCTTCTTTTCTTCCCCCTTCCTCTCCTCTACCCTCCCTGGTGATTGTTACCTCCCTCTCTCTCCCTCCATCCTTCCCATCTCTCTGATGATTTCTTGTCGTGACCTTTGACCTGGATGACCCAACACTATTTTTTTCTTCTTACTTTGTTTCTTTGTTTTGTTTATCCAATAATTTCTATTCCTATTGTTTTTAAATTCTTGTTATCTTAACTTTGAACAATTATTTTCTTTTTCTTGCCATCCTTCTTTTCTATTCTTCCTTCTCATCCACTCCTTCCTTCCTTTTCTTCTCTTCTTTCCTTCCCTTCCTTCTCCTCCCCTTCATCTGTGTCCTTCCCTTTCCTCTCCCTCTGTTTGTTCCTCCTTCATCTCTTCCTCCCCCCCCCTTTAACCACCTTCTTCCCTCTCTCCTCACCCTCACCACACAGGCTCAGCTGGTGCCGTGTGAGATGTGTGGGAGGACCTTCTTCCCGGAGAGGCTGGAGGTCCATCAACGAGGATGTAAGCCACCACCCGGAGCACCAGCGAAGAAACCCCAAAAGGTGAGATAGTCCGTCATTCCTCTCACACTAAGGGTTCAAACGATCTTTAATTAATATATTTACTTCTTTTTCACGGTAAAATAGTAAACACTTTGTCTTGTATATTATATGTATTATAAAAAAGAACTGAGTGGTTTATGGTTAATATTATCTTGCATATTAAAATATTATACTGTATATATCTATTTAATTTTGCATGTATAATCTCTTGCTGTATCATTTAATTAATTCAACACTAATATATGCAGGTAATATGTGTATGATCAGTTACAAAGATTTGCGTATGATAACAGTACATGTAAACTATACAGGATAAGTGTATATTTATGTCACATCAGCACTGTATACAGAAAGTATTGTCATACTTGTGTATTTCACTTCACATTGTTACAGTATACTCTGAAAATATGAATTAGTTGTATAGTAAACCGTATACTTTTGATTATACTTTAGAATCTTAACTTACCTTTTAAAGTCAACAGTATACCTGACAATACACTTAAGTATCTCAATACCTGTACAGAATAACAATTAAATCACTCACAATGTCCTCAGACCCGGCCAGAATCGACATCATCATCATCAGTGTTAAACTCATCGATGAGCGTCGCCAAGCCTACCGTGGTGTGTTACATCTGCGGCAGGGAGTTTGGCACTATGTCTATCACCATCCACGAGCCTCAGTGCCTCCGCAAGTGGAAGATCGAGAACCAGAGTCTGCCTAATCACCTCCAAAGACCAGATCCGCGTAAACCTGATGTTGTATATGATGGTTTGTGCTCTGTTATTTTTTTAGGTTTTATATATGAGTATATATACTGTATAACGAGATGACTCTCAAAGCCAGAAAAAAATCCCTCATCCTTCGGAATTCTCTGGAATTTTCTGGGTAACGGAAAAATGGTCTCCGAAGTTCCAGAAATTGCATATAACATCATCTGTTTCAAACCCGGAAAAAAAATCCCCATCCCCGGATTTTTCTTGAGTCTTCTGGATACTGTACTGGGAAAATTATCTCAGAATTTTCCACAAAATGTGCCTCCCTTTGGAAAATCGTTTCCAAAGCCGGAATTTTCTGGAAAATTCCGGCAAGGGGAACAATTTTCCGATAAAATTTCAATTCTGGCAATAGGTTTTTGACACGGAATTCTATTTGTTTCCCTTTATTTTCTCTTTACAATCTCTCTCTCCTCTTTATTCCTTCCTTCCCTCCTCCCTTCCTTTCCTCCTCTCCCTCTTTTCTCTCTCCTTCCCTCCCATCACTTTTTCTCCTTTATTCATTCCCCCCTTCCTTCCCTAACCAGGGGCGAATCTAGGGCAGGTGTCCTGGGGGGTCCAGACTCCCTCCCCCCTCCTTTTCGTCAGAAAATACCAATACTTTTTCTCTAATGCTGTATTGTACTATTGTACTCGGGCATTTTTGTATAGTACAGTAAAAAGTAATTACTATTGACCTCAGAATATCTCTTAATATCAAGCTGGGTGGGCTCGCTATGTTCCCCCACCCACAACTTTTTGGACCCCCCCACCTTTTGATATTCCTAGATCTGCCCCTGCTAACACACACTTCACTCTTTCAGATGAAGGTAACATCAATAGAGAGGCGATGGCTGAGGCAGCCTGGAAGACCCATCTGCAGCAGCTGGTCAAGTGTGAGAAGTGTGGCCGAACCTTCTTTCCTGACCGTCTCATTGTCCACCAGAAGGCATGTCTCCGGGAGGCCTGAACTCCCCCCCCTCCTCCTCCTATGTGCATTCAGGAAGCCGAAGAACCCTCCTCCTTCTCTTCCTTTTATGTGTCTTCAGGAATCCTAAGACCTTCTCCTACTCATAATCACAGCGCCAAGTATCACGTCGTCACAAGTTTCTCCTCGTCCACATGTAAACATCCATTTGGAGACATTGATGGCAAGAATTATTCCAAAATAGATCTGAAGCTTTACAACCTCACACTCGGCAGCCTTAAAAATTACTAAAGTCGCCTTAAAAAAAATTATATACTGTACATATTAAATATTTCTTTTTTTGGTATGAAAAATATGCGGGCAGCTGAACAAGGTGATACCAAAGAAAATTTCCAACAGAATGGTTTGCCTCACTGATTATAAGTGGCTGCTTTAGTGTGGACAGTATAATGGAGTTAAATCCTATATGTATTGTTGGTGGTGTGTATTAGCTCAGGTCTACTAGAATAGCCAGATGGTCACATTGACGAAGGCATCAACCTGAGTGTCAACCACGCTTCTGGTCACCGAGAGTTGGAGAAACATTAAATGCAAGACTTTAATACCTACTGCAGTACATGAAGAATTGATTCAGGTATTGTCTTGGTATAATCTGATCTCAGTCAATACCCATTGCTGAACATTTTGTATATACAGTACACAAATTAATGTATTTTTTATAGTTTACATTATTCGTGAGGAAAAAAAAACATACAAACTACTATTCTGAGAGAAGAGTCACCATCAAGGACCCACAACACTTCAATATCTCAGTGTGTAGGCGGAATCACCAACAGCTGTGACATCACGTGAATGTTGTGTTGGGGATCGCTGACGCCAATACCTGGAGGGACACAACACAGGTTCCTTCCTCCAGGCGAAATAATTGCCACGGTCACACCACACTCCCAGACCGGAGTTGGTGTTGCAACTCATAGTTTGTATTGGCTAACCAATTTTATGAGTTATTTATTATGGTTTCTTAAAAGTTTTGAGCTGTGGTAGTCTTGATAGTGGGTGTGTCTCGTGCTATCCTCAATTCAGCTCGGATATTAAACTTCTCATTGTGGGATAATCCTCTTACGTCACCATTAGCCTAGGATGTTAGTGCCATTAACCACCAACAGCTGTTATGGCAAGGTGATGTTTATTAGTTTATCATATTGATACTGATTTTGGTCAGCTCCTACTGACAGAGAAGTGATATATCAGAAGCTATAATGAGCTGTCTTGGGTCACACACTCACTTTCAAAACCTCATAATCTGTCTCATCTTAGCATGTATAGCTATTTGAAATATGTTTTCTTATTTTCTTATTTGTTAGGTGCAACATTATTTTAATCATTCACATATTCATTTTTTCATACTTTCATTGGGGTGTAAGTGTCTCCAGGCGGTGATGGTTGTACATATGGCAAACGGCAATTAAGATGTCAATTTAACTCGAGCAAAACCCACAACTTGTATAGTGTATAGCCAAGATCAGACCACCTCCAGCTTTATCAGGTCATTATTAAATAGGACTCTAAAAAAGGGAATGATCTTTAGACAATACTGAAATCTTTGAGTTTGTGGATTTTGTCATCTTAGTCATGTGTGTGTAGGGATGATATCATTCTTGCCATTGTGTGCATGTGTAAAATTGTCATATCATGTGGAGGTATGGTTTCTTTTCTTACTCAAGTGACGTGACTGAGGTATCTGGGCCCAAGATGCACCTCAGACAAAAAGATGAGGAGTTAGTTAATACAGGCTCGTGTAACAATTATGTATATTGTAGAATATCAATGTAATATAAAGTGTACTGAAGTATCTGATGAGTTACTACCCTGAAGAACAATATGCCATCAGTAACCTACCAAACTACAGTACTGACTCCATGTATTATCTGTATATCGAGAAAATATATAAAATATCTTCATTCATATTATGTATATTAAACAAGACATATAAACAACTGGTAAGAAGTAATAGTTCTATAAACAGTATACAGCATACCTGATGCAACAGACTATCCTCAGGGGAAGTGTAAACGAAGGATCAATAACAGCAACAACGCCTGGATAAACAGTAACATTTGTATAACTGGTAACATTTCAGCAAATTTTCTGCCATCGTCACGCCTAAAACAAAATACAAAAGCATAAAAAATCAATATGACAAATAGAATAAAATAAAATCACTTTGTACATTGAGAGAACCAAAAACATGCATCGAACAACACATTAATAGATGGTTTGTTCAGTGTATTTTTTCTAACACTGTGGCATAAGATGTATATGATCATAGAGTACTTTGTAATTTTATATGTAAGGATAATTGCCCTGAAACCATAAATCTAGTCATAGTTGGGGCATATTAGCACTACACCAACGAAGAGGATAAGATAAAAATGTGTCATAAGAACATAGTTACTATCACTCTATCATCCATGAATCTATCTAGCCAACTTTTAAAACTTTCCAGCACTTACTACAAAGTTGCTAAGTTTGTTCCACTTGTCTACCACCCTATTTGTGAACCAGTTCCTTCCTATCTCCCTCCTAAACCTAAACTTATCCAACTTAAATCCGTTGCTACGAGTCCTATCCTGCTCGGACATTATAAGAACTTTGTCTATACTGTATCTCCTTTAATGATTCCTTTCACCCACTTAAATACTTCTATCATATCTCTCCGCACTCTTGTCTTTCTAGGGAATGTAAGTATAGTTTCTTTAACCTATCTTGATATGGAAGTTTTATAAGTCCTGTAATCATTTTCATCATTCTTTGCTGCACGGACTCCAGTGAATTGATATCCATTCTATAATAAGGGCACCAGAACTGAACAGCATAATCGAGGTGCGGCCTGACTTGCGCAAGATATAGTTGCAATAAGACCTCTGCGCTCTTATTACTTACACTTCTAGATATAAAACCTAATACTCTGTTTGCCTTATTTTGAACATTAACGCACTGTTTTCTAGGCCGTAGGTCCGGGCTGACAAGTACCCCTAAGTCTCTTTCACAAGTCGACTTCTCTAGGTTGATGTTGTTAAGGCTGTATACATTGACAGTACTGTATTTGTTCTTTCAATGTTAAGTACGCTGCACTTGCTGGTGTTGAATTTCATTTGCCATTTTTCTGTTCACTCCTGCAGTTTATTTAAATTCTCTTGTAGTGTATTTGCATCCTGCCCTGAATTAATCTGCCGCCCTATTTTGGTGTCCACAAACTTGCTTATGTCGCTGCTGATCCCAGTATCTAGATCGTTTATGTAGATTATGAACAAGAGTGGGCCCAGTACTGACCCCTGGGGAACCCCACTGGTTACACAGCCCCGCTTGGCACCATCTACACTGACACTCTGTGTTCTATCGGTGAGCCATGATTTTATCCAATTTAAAACTTTCGCCTCGATACCATGAGTCTTAACTTTTCTCAGAAGCCTCTGATGCGGTACTCTGTCAAACGCTTTGTTAAAGTCTAAGTCAATAACATCGAAATTTTCGTCGTCATTATCTACTACCTCGAAGACTTTCCTAAAAAAACGTCAGCTGATTTGTTGGACAAGATTTTCCCTTCGTAAGCCCATGTTGAAGGTCGTAGGGTTTAGATAAAACAATATTTGTTGGAATTATATCAAGGATTTGTTCTAGTGATGATTCTGAAAAGATTGTCAAGACCAATTTAACAATTTGGGGGTTGTTAGACATAATTCAGCATAATATTATTCCTAAAATAATATAACTGGTATACTGTGGCCCGAGGTCGAAGAGAGATAAAGAAAGATGTTCCCTAATGCATAAACGTTTTTAACACAGCTGTATATATATATTTATATATGGCAGTATGACTAGATTAAATAAATTCTAGATTATTATAAATAGTCTAGCATAATATATAGGCCAGCGTTTTAGCCTTATTAATTGAGGGTAAATTGCGATAAAGGTAAAGGAACTAAGCAAGCTCAAAAACCAGAATATTAGTAAACAAACAAATTTACCTGGTAGCTGTCATCTCTACCAGTTAGTTAGTTATAAATGATACGCAACTACAGTACCACGTTACTTGTGTATGGGATGCAGCAGATGCCGGTATGTGCTTATTTTAATTCTAGTAACTAATTTTCTAAAGTTAATAAAGCAGCAAAAGCAAGTGACCGTCAGTGGTTAAGTAATTATGATTTTTTTTAACAGTTTTGGTAAAATGCAGTTTGGGACAAAACCCCTTGTCGTTGAGCAATGTGTTTTTCCGATTGTTTAGACAATTTTAAGACACCTTTTTTCTATGATGATTCCGGTATATTTAGATAATTTGCGAGGGATACGATATAAAAGAAGTGTCTTAAAATTGTCTAAACAATCGGAAAAACACATTGCTCAACTCGAGATCCATAGTGTCCGAAACTGCAGCTATATCACAGTTTTTTTACACTGATTATGCTTTTCCTTTTCACTTTTTTTTTTTGCAAATGCTTAGTTTTCTAGATATAGGTGAGTTAAGATATTGGTTAAGTTAGGTCAGGACAGGTTTTCTTAGGTTTGGTTAGGTTAGCATATGATTTTACCCATTTTAATATTTTCCCCAACATAATGCAGTATTCCCTAATATAATCAGTGAAAATTGGGGGTAAAATTTCAGTCATGCACTGGTCTTTCTCTCGCTGTTATTAATAGCCGCAAGCCCAGAAAACTGTGAGGGCAAACTTTTTCGGAGTGAGAGTTGTGAACTCTTGGAACAATCTACCGCAGGGGTTCTCAACCAGGGGGGAATTTCCCTCA